TTGAGAGGTTCTATGGGCAGCTGTACACGTCATCGTTGGAGCCACACGCAAGTGTGAGTAACGATCCAAGAGCGAGTCTTATCCGACATTATTCCGATGATATCCCGGACGTCAGTCTGAGCGAGATTAGAATGGCTCTCCAGCACCTTAAAAACGGCAAGGCCCCAGGCCAGGATGGAATTACAGCGGAGCTTCTGAAAGCGGGTGGAAAACCGGTACTTGAAGTCCTTCAGAAGCTCTTTAATTCCGTCCTCCATGGTGGCACTACACCGGAGGCGTGGAGCAGAAGTGCGGTGGTCTTGTTCTTCAAGAAAGGCGACAACGCTCTCTTGAAGAACTACAGACCGATTTCCCTTCTGAGCCGCGTCTACGTGCTGTTTTCGAGAGTCATTACGAATCGTCTCGCGCGCAGACTTGACGACTTCCAGCCTCCCGAACAAGCCGGATTCCGAAAAGGCTTTAGCACCATAGACCACATACATACCCTTCGGCAAATTGTACAGAAGTCCGAGGAGTACAATTTGCCACTATGTCTGGCGTATGTGGACTATGAGAAAGCCTTTGATTCCGTCGAAATTTGGGCGGTGCTGCAGTCCCTTCAGCGATGCCAAGTTGACTGTCGGTATATCGAAGTGTTGAAGTGCTTGTACAGTAGGGCTACGATGGCTATCCGAGTACAGAACCAGAGTACGAAACCTATCCAATTGCAGAGAGGTGTAAGACAGGGTGACGTCATATCCCCGAAACTCTTCACCGCTGCATTGGAAGATGTTTTCAAGCTTCTGGACTGGAAAGGATACGGTATCAACATCAATGGCGAGTACATCACTCACCTTCGATTTGCCGACGATATAGTCCTTATGGCAGAATCGCTGGAGGACCTAAGCACTATGCTCAATGACCTCAATAGTGTTTCCCAACGGATAGGTCTTAAGATGAACATGGACAAAACAAAGATCATGTTTAATGTCCATGTCACACCTATGCCGGTAGTTGTTGGGAACACTAAGCTCGAAGTTGTTGACGAGTATGTTTACCTGGGACAAATAGTCCGACTAGGTAAGTCCAACTTCGACCGAGAGGTCAATCGACGGATTCAACTCGGTTGGGCAGCGTTCGGGAAGTTACGGCACATCTTCTCGTCAGGTATACCTCAAAACTTGAAAACGAGACTGTACACCCAGTGCGTGTTGCCAGTGATGACATACGGAACTGAGACGTGGTCCTTCACTGCTGGCCGGATGAGGAAGCTCAAGGTCGCTCAGCGAGCTATGGAGAGGGCTATGCTCGGAGTTTCTCTGCGTGATAAACTCAGAAATGAGGATATCCGCAGTAGAACCAGAGTGACCGACATAGCCCAACGGATTAGTAAGCTGAAGTGGCAATGGGCCGGCCATATAGCTCGAAGAACCGACAACCGATGGGGAAGAAAGGTTCTCGAGTGGCAGCCTCGTACCGGCAGGCGAAGTGTAGGGCGTCCCCCCACTAGATGGAGTGACGACCTGGTAAGATTTGCAGGAAGTCGATGGATGCAGGTGGCTCAGGACCGTGCTTTGTGGCATTCTTTGGGGGAGGCCTATGTTCAGCAGTGGACTTGTGAAGGGCTGTAATGATGATGATGATGATGATTTTATTGTTATCGAAGTATATGAAGTCATGTCTTACATGTTTGTATATACGTGTAACTTGAACATTTATGTATGAATTTGTTTTCATGTACGTTTATTAATGTTGTTGGATAAACATACATTACATTTTTATTTTTTAGATACACATGCATATACCGAAAAAGATGTATCAATGGATCTTGAGAATCGGCATTTGGAAGTTTCTATCGACGAAAGACAAGCTGCCGAAGCACATAGTGATGGAGAACAAAATCATATTATATCAGCTAATATACTATCGCAAAGTGATTTAAATTATATAATCGATACGGTAGGGGAAATTTCGAATGTTGAAATTGAAAATTACGATCTCACCATGCCCATTTGTGAAAATGAAACACCACAATCAATACCTGAAAATTGTGGTTCAACACCAATGCCAAGTCCATGCATGTCCTTTGGGGACACTGTAAACGAATGTAACTATTTAAGCGAAAGTACTGTTCTCCTATCTGATGCAACTTTAAGATCAAGCCCGTTAGGATCCAGTGAAATGTCTGGTTCATCAACGCCGCACCAACGAAAAAAAAAGCGTCAGTATGTGAAAAAAGCAATAACAAGGAACAGAATTACTAACAAATCTATCTGGCTTGATGAAAAAGGAAGGTGCTTGTCAATTTAGGTGAAGCTCATAGATCTCGATCCGGAAAACTACAAATGGCAAAACAAATCAAGATTCCATGTCCATCTAATTGTCGATTAAAATGTTTTGAAAAATTTGATGTGGTAGCTCGCCAAAATATATTCAAAACCTTTTGGGATCTAGGTGATCATTCTCATCAGTGGTCTTTTATAGCGTCGCACGTGAAAGAAATAAGAAAAAAACAATGGACACAGGATTCCAAGAGGTTAAATGTTTATAAGTTTTTTTTTGCCGCTTTTGTCTGGTAGTGGCCACGAAGAGAAGATTATGGTATGCAAAACTATGTTTAAAAATACTTTTTCTATAAGTAACACTTTCATACAATCTGCCATCGACAAGCATGACAAAAATACGGGTATTTGTTCTAAGGACATGAGGGGATTTCATTCAAATCATCCAACTATTATAAACGCGGCAATGAAAGAAAATGTAATTCAACATGTAAAATGTTTTGCGCCCATAGAAAGTCATTATACGCGCAAAGACTCAAGTAAACAGTATTTAGATAGTGAATTGACTTTTAAAAAAATGTATGACCTGTATACTGTATGGTGTAAAGAGCTGAATATAACTGAAAATATAGCTACTTCTGTAAACAATACAAAGATATTGTTAACAAAGAACTTAACATAGCTTTTCACATACCTAAAAAGGACCAATGTGACCTGTGTCACGCAATGAAAAACAACACCTCGCCAACCAATGATGATAAACTGAAGCATAAGTCACATATTGATAACAAAAAACTTGCCAGGGAGTTAAAAAATGTTGATAAAATTGAATCTCAATCAAATCCTTCTGATATTTGCACAGCGATGTTCGATTTTCAAAAAATAAATAACACTCCACATGGTGAAATTAGTGTGCTGTATTACAAAAGGAAATTATCAGTTTATAATTTTACAGTGTTTGATGCTGGGTTAAAGGAAGCTACTTGTTACATGTGGGATGAGACAGTTGCTAAACGTGGCGCCAATGAAGTGGCTAGTTGTTTGTTTTCTTTTGTTAACAACAAAGTTAAAGCTGGCGTCAAAGATTTTAGATTCTGGTCAGACAACTGTGCCGGTCAGAATCGCAATCGTATTGTTTTTTTTATGTACCTGTATGTAAGCAATACATTCAAAGTAGACGTTTGCCATCGATTCTTGGAAAAAGGCCATACTCAAAATGAGGCAGATAGCGTTCACGCATTAATAGAGCGAACAGCAAAAAATAAACTTATTTACACACCAGATGAATGGTACACCCTGGTTCGCTGGGCAAAACAGAATAGCCCAGCTTATACAGTCGTAGAAGTAAATCAAGACTTAGTTTTGAATTTCAAAGCTTGGCTACATACTAAAAACTGGATAAAAGATACAAATTCAGAGAAAATTTCTTGGAATAAGATAAGAGAAGTAAAAGTACAATGGAATAATCCAGACATTATTGAATTTAAATACGATTATATTGAAGAAAATTATAGAAAACTGAACTGTGGCATGAATTTGAAATTAACTAGAGGGAGGAAAAAGAAGGAACAAGAACCAAAACTAGACAAGTTGTACAATAATCCTATTCCTATCACCGAAGTGAAATATAAAGACTTGGTTAGTTTATGCGATACAATGATCATCCCAAAAAAATATCATGACTTCTACAAGAATCTTAAGAACAGTAAAGAAGAACAGGGTGATGACGAAGAAGATTAAAATAGTCTATACTTAATTTTTATATAAATTTTATTTTTTTATTTAACTAGTTACCAAAAAAATTTAATAGTAATAAGATGAATCAGTCTGAATAAAACTGTGATGATTATTAAATATTACCAATTAGGTAGATAGAATATGAGGCACATACTTAAATAACACTGTGATTTTGATTTAATGGTACTAATTAGATAGATAGATAATTAAGCTAAGGTACATACTTAATTAAATAAAGATGTGATGAATATTAAATATTACCAATTACAAAAATAAAACTTGCTAAACAAAAATTGTTAATAATTAACCTTAAACAACTGTGATTTTTAATGTTTAATTCCTACTGCAATGAAACTACAAGTACCTATTGTTTGGATGCTAAGAAGATTGTTATTTAAGAATAAATAATTTTCAATTATAAACCTTGTTAATTAATAAAACACAGTCCTGATAATTTTATTTAAGGACATGTCTTTGTTTACATTTTAAGAAATATAGTCCTACCTCGAATGAATGAAACCGCGTATACAGCGATATGTCTTCATTGATGCATTTTTTAAATTCATGGGTGGCGATCTTAGGATGGTTAATGTATCCGTTAGAAAACAAAAACATTATTCTACGGCTTTATAAAACATTTTATTTAAATTATATTTTTTTCACAGTTTTATTCTTTCCTGCGTACATAAAGGTATCATAGACATGTCTGACATGCTTACACTTTAATATCAGCGTAGAAGCAGTCATCTATCAGTTTTTCTATGAAAATATAAAAAAATTAAATATGTATAAATGCCATTATAAAGTTCCTAAAGATAATAAAACTTTGTAGAAAAAAAGTATTTATGTTTGTACACAGAATTATTTCTAGGGCAGTTTGAACATAAATTACGCTCTCCTGTAAACCTCGGTTTTAGACATGTCTTTATGTACGTAGGGGCCGTCGATATGCTCGTTTGTTACCATTATTCTATAAAAAAATAACAGAGATAACAGACTCACCGTCGTTGTCCAAGTCCGCGCCCCAGAGCGCATCGCACAGCTTCCACACTTGGAGACTGTAGGTGTCCGTCACGTCCGACTGGAAGCAAGCAACGGACTCACTGTTCGTTCATACAAGCGTGCGATCCTAGAGTGACGCGACGAAAAAAACCACGGAGGGTTGGGTACGGGGAGGGTTTGAGAGAATAATGATGTATTGTAATCGATGCTAAATCTTCAACTAGCTTTTACCAGCGACTTAGTCCGCATTGACTTGGGCTTTTCAAAATTTTCCGCACCAAGTCGGCGCCAATTACGAATGAGGTGAAATATTTGACATATTTAATGCCGGCGAAAGTTAATTTGTTACAAAAGTGTAGTATGTGTGTGTGTGTGTGTTTCTCTCTGAAATATTAGTTATATTTCATATTATTAGATTAGAAATGGTTAAACCCAACTACGCATATTATTAAAAGTAGAAGAATTTAAAAAAAATCATCATTCCAGCCCTTCACAAGTCCACTGCTGAATATAGGCCTCCCCCAAGGAGTGCACAAAGTAGGGTACAGAGCCACTCTGCCGCTATCTTACCAGGTCGTCACTCCATCTAGCGGGGAGACGCCCTACACTTCGCTTGTCGCGGTACGAGGCTGTACCTTAGAACCTTTCTTCCCCATCGGTTGTCGGTTCTTCGAGCTATATGGCTGGCCCATTGCCACTTATGCCGGTAGTTGTTGGGAGCACTAAGCTCAAAGTTGTTGACGAGTATGTTTACCTGGGACAAATAGTCCGACTAGGTAAGTCCAACTTCGACCGAGAGGTCAATCGACGGATTCAACTCGGCTGGGCAGCGTTCGGGAAACTACGACACATCTTCTTATCAGGTATAGCTCGAAATCTCAAATTAGATTGTACAACCAGTGTGTTGCCAGTGATGACCTATGGATCTGAGACGTGGTCCTTCATTATACTTAATTATAACCAAATATTAAACTAGGTTGGTAGCTCACCTGTGCATGCTGTAGCAGCTGTTCCAGCAGTGCTCGCCTCTGCTGGGGCTCCTGCGACAACTGCAGGCGCGGGCACGGCTCCTCCTGCACCAGCTGCGAGAATTGCAGCAGGCTCTCCAGCTGCAGCGCCAACGTATCCTGCACAAATATTTTATTCTAAAACCTAATCCTTCTTTACCACGTTACAACTATATTGTGGTTGTACACAAATGGCCGATCGAGGAAGGACTACGGTGCAACAGAATACCAGCGTAAAATAGCAGCTTAACGCTGCTGTTTTTCGTGTGGTGGGTGTAGAGAGAATCGGAAATTTTTTTTACTGGAATCGAGGAATTTTATCTCAGTCCTCGAGGCATTCCTCAGTCTTCAGGGGCGACAACGCATCTGCATTTTAATTATTAATCGAGGATAAATTTAGATGTCTATGGGCTACAGCATCTACTTACCATCAGGTAGACTGTATTATGCTCGTTTATTACCCTTAGTCTAAAACTTCCTCATTTCCAGTAAAAGCAGTCTCCGGTTCTCTACACTCACCATACGAAAAACAGCAGCATTAAGCTGCTATTTTACGCTGGTATTCTGTGAGAGTGGTCCTTCCCCGGTCGAGCCGACCCATTCGTGCTACAACCATTATAGTTGCAGGATGGCTACCGAGTATAGAACTAAATAAACTTTTCGATTGAGAATCCCAAATGACATTGAGCTATTACTATCATCAGTTGTCCGCTGGATTAAGCTGTCGTCGAAATCTCATCGAATCTAAAACTTTGTAATCGGACGAATCATCATATTGTGAAGCGTCTTTAAGGGCTGTATTGAAAAAATGTATGAAGGAAATGCAATACCTGTGACGCGGTGGTCTCTCGGCCGAGGGCCAGGCGCGCGACCACGGGCTCGCTCCAGTCGTGCTCCCCGCGCCCGCGCACGTAGCTGCCCAGCTCACTCAGCTCCGCCGCTGGAACAGTTTCACACCAACGTCAAACACTTAACAGTCTGTGGTCAGACAGTCGCACAGAGTAGACATTGCCACCAAAGGATTTTAAAATGTTGCCAAACTAATAACTGCTGAGAATTTGCTTAAATAAGCTGTGAACTTTGTGTGATTTCCAATGTTCTTTTCAATAGTCAATGGAGTGTGTGTAAAGACATATATGTGCTTATCTTATATTTTATAAATTAACTATCCGTTCCCCAAGACTTCGCCAGCGTATTATTTAGAGTTTTAATTTTTTTTGCGCGGAACCCTAATCTTTTTCTAAAATAAAAGTAGCCTAAGTTACTCCTTATGACATCAACTATCTGCTAGTGAGTCCCGTCAAAATCGGTCCAGCCGTTTCGAAGACAAACAGACAGAACAAACAGACATACAAAAATTAAAAAAATTGTGTTTTTGTTATAAGTACCGTATATACGTTCATATGCATTTAGTAAAAAGCTGTTATTTTGACATTACAAACAGTCACTTCAATTTTATTTATTTGTATAGATTGTATAGATGTGCAGTAGGAAGTGAAACACAGACTACCTAATATGCAAACCTAAAAATTTAATGAATAGAGTAACATACGAGCTAAGTAAACCGAGATGGAGCCAGCTATAACCATTTCCTTATCACCCGTTGCTTTCTTCTCCCTCAAATAATGGGAGAATAACCATAGCAAAAGCTGTGCAGCATAAATATGAAATTTATTAGAACATATTCTAAATAATTTAAAATTAAAAATTATGTACAACCGACTTCAATATAAATTATTAAGAATAACTCAAAAACTGTTGGTTAGACCTTAAACAAGAACTACATGTGAAGTACCAGCTTTCAAATAATAAAAGAATCATCGGAATCGGTTCAACCATTAAAAAGTTATGAGGTAACACACATTAAAAAAAAAAACATGTTCGTATTGAGTACTGTCTCCATTTTGAAATCTGTAGAAAAATACTAAATATTGTGATAGAATATTGTAACTATATTGTAACTATAATAGATAAATATATCTATACGGACAAGTCATGCCATACACTTAGTTTACTCAATGGTCAGTCAATAAATATCTGTTGCTTTAGACGGTCGTACGTTTTATTACCAACTAGATGTACCCCGCGATTTCGCCCGCGTTTAATATAGATTTTTTCGTATTTATTCTTACGCGGTCACCCCTGAGAACTACGATTGAATGCTTCGTTTCCAGTAAAAAGTTCCCCTGTTCTCTACACACACCATACGAAACACAGCAGCGTGAAGTTACTATTTCCCGCTGGTATTCTGTGAAAGCGTGGTCCTTCCCCGGTCGAGCCGACCCATTCGTGCTACAACTATAGTACTAATATAGCTGCAGCGTGGAAAGCGCTCTTCATTGAAGACAACCACATTGTAACTGAATCGAAAAACAAAGATATTTTCCGAACCAGCAGTAAATCTATATAAATAGAATGATAGAGGTTTGCAGTTGTGCGCGCATCACGGAAATACTACTGGATAGATTTCAATTAGGTTTTCTAAGTTTTATTTCTTCGACATTTGGCCCATATCTAAAAAATAATTATTGCGATATCTTCATTTAATATAAAGTTATTAAAGTTTTAAGAAACAAAGATTTTTATGAGTACTACGTGTTTAGTGATGTGTGTTTTCTTGTTATATCAAGCGATGCGGACGAAGTCGCGGGTATCAGCTAGTTACACATAAGAATGACTTTTTTGATATAAAATTGAAGTGTCTGTTTGTAATGTTAAAATAACAGCTTTTTACTAAACGCATATGGAAGTATATACGATATTTATAACAAAAACACAATTTTTAAATTTCTTGTCTGTCTGTCTGTTTGTTCCGGCTGATCACCGAAACGGCTGGATCGATTTTGACGGGACTTTCATTGGTACATAGCTCATGTTATTAGGAGTAACTTGGGCTACTTATATTGTAGAAATAAAAATAATTAGGGTTTCGCGCAACAAAACTAAAACCCTAAACTACGCGCGGGCGAAGTCGCGGGGAACAGCTAGTATTAAATAAAAATCGTTTCTACTTCTATAACAATCGTGCACTACAATCCAGTCCTGTGCAGATGTCTCGTGTTCGTTTCTGAAGGACATTATTAGGAAGGTGTAGACTCACAGCGCGGCAGGTGGGCCAGCGAGTCGTAGGTGGAGACGTAGACCATGGCGCGGGCGGGCCCGAAGCCCAGGCGGCTGTGCCTCGCGCGCCACACGCTCATGTCCGCCAAGCACGCCGCACCCAGCCGACCTGCACAACAACACCTTACACGTCTATATGGGTCAATATACAAAAAATGGCTAACTTATATTTTGTTCATCATACTTTTCAAGTCAAATTTCTATAAATTTGAGTATTTAAGATAGATAATGTAATGAATATTGTTAAATATTGTGGATTAAGATACGGTTATCCAGTCCGATAAAAAAGTTGAAATGAAAAAAAGAAATTTGACGTTATCTATGAAACACATAAATAATCTATGGCATGAAAAAACATTGTAAAAAACATTTATGGTGTAATTTGCGTTTTCCATGCGCTTCTATTAAAGAAACAAACAAGAAAGCCAGTGTTTTATTTTGGTGTCAAGATCCGGTGGATTAAAGGGCAATTCCTATAACTTCATCGTAAAAAGAAAGCCAATCAAACTACAGCTTAAATTTCCAAATAATAATTTTCTACAAATATATTGATCTAAAGCGGGCCAGTCACTTTTATAAGTAGATTTTGAAATATTTCGATTTTTGTGAATTTCGACTGCCAGGGGACTGACGACTTTCATAGTACTGATTAAATACTTATACATAAGAAATATAGCAAATTTATTAACGCTTTGAGCCAATTTCTTTCATTCTATTAATGGCACGCATAATAACATAACAATATAAAAAAATCTTTTAAATATTACAATACTTTTTTTTTATAGGATAGCGTGACAAACGAGCACACAGTCCACCTGATGGTAAGTGGTTGCCGTGACCTATAGACATCTACATTTATCCTCAACAAAGAATCAAAATGCAGATGAGTTGTCACCCATTAGTACTAAGATGGAATGCCTCTTTTCCAGTAAAATGGGTAACCAATTCTCTATACGCACCATACGAAACACACCAGTGTCAAGCTGCTATTTTACGCTGGTATTCTGTGAGAGCGTGGTCCTTCCCCGGTCGAGCCGACCCATTCGTGCTACAACTATATTACTAATATAGCTGCAGCATGGCTCTACCACGTAACAACTTAAGTAACTATTAACAACAACTATTCATTTAAATCTCCATAGTTCGTAATTGTCTGCTACAGATACATTTTTTTTCTTCACGAGTCTTTATTTTAGTCTAGTTTATCTTCTTTACTAATTCCTTCTTTTTAGTTATATCTTCACCCATTTGTTCATTATGGTTCTTGGCGTCTTTTCGACAGAATTTTTTTAACTTTATTAATTAACTAGCTCATTTATATTTTATATGTATACGTAACAAAAACACTCACGCCTGCCACCTGGGAGGATAGACAGACTATGGACTTCCATTTGGCACGATCCTGACACACCTTTCGCGTCTCCTTTAAATCCATATATATATACATACCTACGAATACATTTTATATATCTTTCAGGAAAAATTTTAATTTCACCTGCTATAGTTTCCTTGAAGGGCGGCACCTTCCTGTGGTAATTGAGCACGATGCGGTGAGGGCGAACAACGAGAGGTTTCATCACGGCCTCTGAAAACAAATATAAAAATAGCAATTAAAGTAACAAAGCGTTCTCATCTGGTTGCGATACATAAATATATATATAAAGATATACTATTGTATTTAATATTATGACATAAATAAAATATAATGTATTAATAATAATAACAATAATTTATTTAGTTCTAAACATAAACACAAATTAACCTAACAAAATAAATTAATGGAATGGAACTATAATGGCGTCTACTCAGCACAAATGTTATAGAGACCACACAGTGATAACTATAACGCTGACTTTCAGTAAACGCCAGAGACATAGGTGCTCTGAGGAATTGTTCGGATTAATCCCAGCCGCCAAATTTCACGAACGCACATCGCGGAAGAACTCCCGATACCATCCACACCATCTGGATGATTGGCGGTCCACCACTGTGCGATTTAGAAGATGTTTTCTTCCTCGCACGACCTCCTTGTGGAATCGATTACCATCAGCGATTTTTTCGGACCGATACGACTTAGGGACCTTCAAGAAAAGAGCGTACTCCTTTTTAAAAGGCCGGCAACGCATCTGCGATTCCCCTGGTGTTGCAGTTGTTCATGGGCGGCGGTAGTCACTTACCATCAGGTGAGCCGCATGCTCGTTTGCCCCCTCTCCTATAAAAAAAAAAAAACATAGGTGCAACAAAATAAACTTAACTAATCACAGGCTCCAACATAAAATAAAAATAGACTCTTATATAATGTAAAAAAAAAACTGTTAACATTTAGGAAAAAAAGGCGTAATAAAAACGCTAACACAACAAAAAAAAATGGCATGTACCTATTGTTTTTTGTTACGTTTTGCGAATTATTATTATTATTATAATTTTTATAATCACTTTTGGTACGAAAATAATGAGTAAAAAACAAAGTAACACGTACCTTCTGTGTCGTGCTTGGTTGCGACAGTGTCGCGTGTGTCGTACGACATCGCGTCATGTCGCGAGAGCGACTCGACCGCGACACTGGAACCCTCCGGCACCAGCTGGTCGCCCGTCGACACGGACCCCTCCTCTTCCATGTCTTCTGTTCACATGAATACACATTTTATATTATTTTTATAGACAAGGGTAACATACCCAGCGTAAAATAGCAGCTTAACACTGCTGTGTTTCGTATGGTCAGTGTAGAGAGCCGGAGACCCTCATTACTGGCAATGAGGTATTCCATCTTAGTCCTCACGGGTGACAACGCATCTGCACCTTGAGTCTTTATTGATGATAGATGTAGATGTCTATGGGTCACAGTAACCACTTACATCAGGTGGACTGTGTGCTCGTTTGTCACCCTAGCCTATAAAAAAAAATACGAGCACACAGTCCAACTGATGATATGTGAATGCTGTGGCCCATAGACATCTACATCTATTCTTCGATTAAGAATCAAAATGTGGATTCGTTGTCAGCTCTGAAAATTAAGATGGAATGGCTCGTTTCCAATAAAAAGGGTCTCCGGTTCTCTACACTAACCATACGAAACACAGCAGCATTAAGCTGCTATTTTACGATGGTCTTCAGTGAGAGCGTGGTCATACCCCCCCCCCCCCCCCCCACCGGTCGAGCTATAGCTGCAGCATAGCTCTACTACGTAAAATAAATAACTAATTACTAAATATATAAATATAAAATAAATATATTTTTTTAATTGGTCCTGATGGTAAGTGACTACCGCCGCCCATGAACAACTGCAACACCAGGAGAATTGCTGGTGCGTTGCCGGCCTTTTAAAAAGGAGTAGGCTCTTTTCTCAATATGGAGAACTAGAGATACGTTGTACTGGTAACAGGGCGTTCCATTTTAGTATTAATAGTACACTTATAGTTTATTATTTAATTTCTAATCGAGAGTAGTTTGTAGGGTTACCAGATCCGAAAGCGAGTTTTCCTTGCAATATCCCTGACTATTCTAAAAATTTCCTAACATTGACGCGAAGGCAGCATAAATATTTAATTGTAAAACTCGCGCATGTGCGCAAGATCCAGCAATAAAAAGTTGGAGCCAGATCAGATGAATTAAAAAAATTTATAGTTGAGATTTGATTCATTTATTATTATTTATTTTGATTGAATTTTTTAATAAAAAATTTAATTTGTATTTCTTAAATTTTTCTCTTTCTTCTTTCCTTCCCTGAAAGAGGGCTAAAATTCCGAAAATGTCAGAAAAATTCCTGTCATCTTAACTTTTGCTGTAGGTGTCTACGGGCCACGTCATCCACTTACTATCAGGTGAACTGTGTTAGTTTATCATCAATAAAAATCATCATCACTTACCAATATCAGCGTACAGCGATGCCTTCATCAGCTGCACATTGTGGCTCTGTCGCTGCTCGAGACGGGCCAGCTCGCTTGTTGGACTCTTTACACCGAACGCTGCGAAAAGAAATATTTAAAAAAAATAATATGTCTTCTTCTTAATTAGCATTTAGTAGTGGGATAAGAGTAACTCAGTAATCAGAAGTGGCGATGAGCCGGCTATATAGCACCGATGGAGAGGAATGGTTCAGGAGTAGCAGCCTTGTAATGGAAAATGCAGTGTTGGGCAACCTCCCTACTATGTGTATGTGTTGTCGATGGATGCAGGTGGTTCAGGACCGTACATTGTGATTGGCTGGTGTGTGTGTGTGTGTGTGTGTGTGTTTTTTTTAACTTTCCAACAAAGGGATACGCGTCCATATGCAGTAGAGAAACTTTACAGGCACATGAAGACAAATAATAAAATTTACTCTCGGTTAAAGGTTATTCCAAGAAGCTATCACATAACATACTATGCGATCCACATAACAATGCGGCTGACCTGGCGCCATATTGTGATGTCATAGCTGTCAATTCAAACCAGTTAGGTAGGGTGAGCAAAAGAGATATTTTTGACATAATATTTATTTACAAAGGAATCGTGAACGAAAATGTAATAATCTGAACCTAGCATTTCAACTTCGTAGTAGTCATCATCGTCATCATTATCATCACTGCTGCGTTCCCTTGTAGCAATAGAACATGGATTTACGTAGGTATTTAAAATATTCCATCGACTAGTACCATTATTCTAAATTAATTTATAAAAATAATTATGATTTCAATATGGTAATACTAAGACAGTTAAACGAGTTGAATGTAAAATCAAGAAAAACAACTTCCTTCTGCGTGAATCCCATATCTCTGGTGCCCTTTGACCTACACGACCCAAATTCAAACTCGACCGAGCTACTACCTCAAGGTGGATACCTTAAGGTAGTAGTACATACCAAATTTAAAGCCAATCGGTCCAGTGGAACGGAAGTTATCGTGTCGGCATACAGACTAACAGACTGCCAGCTAAAACCATTAACTTCCTTTCAATGCTACGCAGAAGGAAGTTAATAAAGCGGAAAAATAAACGTTCATAATACGCAAATTAATTTTCTTTGCAAACCGTACTTCGCAAGTGACAGTTGACAGATCGCGGTCATCCAAGGTCATTGACGTTCCTGTTCTTATTTATATCGCATAGTACAACATATGGTGGTTATATATTTCTCTATCAATCATCCATTCCATCACAGCCTATCAAAAGTCCATTGCTGAATAAAGGCCTTCCGATAAATTGCCTCATATTATATATTATATTACTAGCTGTACCCGCGACTTCGCCCGCGCGTAATTTATTACGATGGAATTTCATGGGTTTTAATTTTTTTGCGCGGAGCCCTAATTCTTTTTCTAAAATAAAAGTAACCAAGTTTCTTCTTATAACATCAGCTATCTGCCAGTGAAAGTCAGGTCAAAATCGGTCCAGCCGTTTCAGAGATTAGCCGGAACAAACAGACAGACAGAAAGATAGACCGACAAAAATGTTAAAAATCGTGTTTTGTTATAAGTATCGTATATACTTTCAAATGCATATAGTAAAAAGCTGTTTTCGACATTACAGACACTTCAATTTTATTTATTTGTATAGATTTGCCATAAGTCCCTACGTTTTACATGTTGCGAGTTGGCAACCTCAGTTTTTATTATTAATTAGTGTTGTTATCAGGAAGATGCTGCTACCCATCTCCTGTTTCATTTCTCTCCGTCACCTCTTACGATATTCCCGAGTGACATGGGCTAGTTGGTTCTCTATCACCGCCAAAGCACGCCACTTTCTTTGTCAGACCATGGTTAAACATAGAACTCTCCCATTGTCACCTACTCGACACCGGGTTTGATATTTCATATATATTATAACCGTGAGGTGGCGTTGTAAGTATATCCACTACAATCTTTTTTTTTTAATAGAATAAGGATGACAAACGAGCACACATTCCACCTGATGGTAAGTGGTTGCTGCGGCCCATACACATCTACATCTATCCTCGTTTGCGAATTAAAATGCAGATGCGTTGTCAGAGTCGTGAGGACTAAGATATAATGCCCCTTTTCCATTAAAAAGGGTCTCCGGTGCTGTACACTCACCATACGAAACACAGCAGCATTAAGCGGTTATTTTACGCTGCTATTTTAATTTGTACGTTAAGATAGTGTCGTTACACCCAGAGAGACATATATTTTACTGTGCTTGTTAAATTTATGTTTTTCTATGATTTTTATAATCTATGGTTATTATAATAAAACACGAATATAAATAATAAACACAGCGCTTCGTTTTAAAATGCCAAGTTCTCCTGCGGGTGTACGCCGCACGCGGCGACCTTAGATTTCGCGGCGGGATCTTTGACAAGTTGCGGCACGTGCCAAGGCGACCATATCTTTGTGTTCATTTAATTAAATTTATAACTTTAATTAGTTAAATCAATATGTATTTAGTTAATATTGGATAGATAAGTAAACATATGGTAGGTTTACGCAAGTCAATAAAAAACAGGAATAAATCTATAAAAGTAAATTTTATAAATTAATTCCTGTTTTTTATTTAAAATTTTTATTAAGTTACTGCCCCTTAACCCGGGGTTTGTCGCTACAGGGTAAATACCACAGAAATAATAAAAAATATTAATATATTTTTTACTAAGTAATTTAGCGACTTGCCCCGCTTTAGGTAACTTTCGGCATAGAAACAAGCGACGAGCGGGGAGCGCGGCTGTCGGTTGGCATCACTTGATCAGCCGCAGCGGAGGTGTGAAGTGAGTATGGGTGAAAAATACCCGTTAGCGACCGTTTATGTAACTTTTTTTGATAAACTTTAAGTGTTTTTTTTTGTTTTAGCTCTTTTTTTGTTTCCCAATGAGTGATGGCACTATAGAAGAAATATTGCAACAAGAAGATAGTGAGGATGAAACCGTATCTGAAATCGATAATGATGAGGAGCATAACCATGACAGTGATACTGAAGCAGGAAGCAGATTCTGATGATGTCCATGACATTCCCTTGCAGTTTGAACAAGAGAAAGAACCAACATTATCAGTGCAATTGGGTGAAGAGTATTATTGAAAGAAATCAGGCATGGGAAATACTTTGGCCTATTGTCAAAAATTATAAGGAACAAGAGTTTCGATTGGCCGAAAAAGAGACGAGTTAGACAAAAGTTTATTTATGCTTCTTATACACCGCAAATTGCAAGTTGTTAATTTGCCACAGTTCATAAACAAGTCTCTTTTGGGGTTTTGACGAAAACAACGAAGACAATATGCCAAGATTCTCCTCAAGGTGTCGACCAAATCCGCACGTCTCGATGTAAAAATTGCATTTGGAGGAAAGACCGGACAACAAAGACAGTTTGTGAAGTGCGCCATAAAAAAAATTCCAAGAGCATACGGTTTTTATTTGTTGCAGTTGTTGCCAAAAAGTGAAAATAATTAATTACATTTATAGTTCGAAACACAAACTTAGAGTTAACGAAAATTCGAGTGCAACGTTACGAGCACAACACTAGCTCTAATTCGGGGAAAACCCGAAGCGTGAGGCGCGTTCTGTGATGCCCCGCCGGGCGCCTCCCGCTATACCTTTTGACGCCCTATGTAATTTTGTTAAAATCGGTGTTTTCTTATCGAAATATTACAAACCGATGTAAAGAAATATCATAGTTCCTCTTATTTTGCTTCCGTGAATCGTTTTTGCAGCTTGGCACTGCACATTTCACTATAATAACTAAAAATTCTAATTAAATATCGTCGCGAGAAATAACTAACGCACGTGACCTTTCGTGACTAATAACGACGTCCTGGCCATTTCGAGACTGTTCTAACGCGAGTTTACAGTTCTGACTTGCTTACACGCGCTCTACAACTTGTTTATAGATACTCTAAGAGGAGCCCCCTTTAGTTTTTAATTTATTTTTATTATTTGTTGTTATAGCAGCAAAAGATGTATACATTCTGTGAAAATTTCAACTGTCTACCAACTGTATTACGAATGATAAGATAGAGCCCGTTGATAGACAAACGGACGGACAGCAGAGACTTAGTAATAGCACATGAGTAAAGAAACCATGAAGCAAATACAAAGAGGAGACGGCATAAGCAACTGTGCACTGTGATTCTAAGTAGGTGCTGACGTCATCATAGTGGGCGTGGCTTTAGTTAGGATACTGGCAGCATTCGTCCTGTGCGCTATGTGTTGAAAATCGCAAATCGGTGTATTTTCGTAATATTACGAAGAAAAGAGTGAAGTGTTATGTTTTATCGTGTAAAAACTACTCAGATAGACGCTCTGATGCTATGTATAGCATCCTTTCATTTGTAAGTAATTTTACACCTAATTTATTAAAATAGTTCTAGAAAAATCTCTTTGCGTCGGCTTTCAAATACAATTAAATATATTCGACACTAGATAGCGACACTGTGTCATGTGAACTAATAATATAAAAATACGTAGAGCACAGTATTGGTAAAATAATCATACAAAGGTGCTGAAATTTGTATTGCATTCAGACATAAAGAAATTTTAATCGCCAAAATATTATTTTTATAGTTTATAATCATTTTGTGAACAGGCCGTCATCTATCGTCAAGGTAGCTAAACTACATTGCAACATCGATATGGAACTATTGGAATAGTTTTACTATTTATAGGTAGATGTAGATAGTAAAGTAGGCGAGGCTTAACATCCCCTCACCCCGCAAATTGTCACGCGTTGTTACACGGTGAAATCTAATTACAACACCTCCTCTTTGTATCTGCTTCATGAAAGAAACCGTATCATACAGAGGCAAAGCTTCATACAATCGCGCTATCATAGGTACACCACTACAAGCCAGACGCGAGTGTGTGCATGAGCACTGGCTGCTCGTCACATACAGAGAGAAACTGCTTTAAACCGGCTCGGCCAGTGCTCCAAGTCAGGGTTGTGTAAAAAATAATAAGTATCAAATTTAGTTTTTTAAAGAATTATTCGTGTTCAATGAAATATAAAAAACGGTAAATATGGTTTAATATACTTGTTTGTATGAACAAT